GTTGGTCGAACGGAGGGAAGGGGGATGGGGGGAGGGTGAGGGGGAGGGGGGTGGTGAGGGGGAGGGAACAGGGGGAGGGGAGGGTGGCTGGGGTGGATTGGGAGGGGGGGAGGGGGGGATGAACACGTTTCTCAGAGGAGAGGTGGTGAGGGAAGGAAGGTGGACGGTGGGGGGAGGGCAACGGGTGGGTACCGAATGGGCCCCGGGGAGGTGAGTAGCGGGGAGGGGGAGTGTGGGTACTCAAACGGAAGGCTCCCGGGGGCGGAGGGGTGGGGGGGGTAGGGCGACGGGCTGGCGGGTGTGTGGGGAAGTGCGGAGGGGGGGGGGGGTGGGGTAGGCGGAAAGGGGTGGGGGTTAGGGCACAGGATAGCCACTATTGGGGGGTGGTGGGGGCGAGTCGAAAGGGTAAGAGGGGGGAACTACGGGTGTTCAGTGCACCTCTCTGGATCCTCTCGGCCATTCACTTCAAAGTTCGACCTTACCTAACCCTCCTCTTTGCTCAATTTCTTACTACTTTTTCTTTTTTGCTCCCTTTCGGCTTATTCCCTTATTTTGTCTTTCTATGAGATTCCCCCTGCTCTTTCCCATCCCTTGCTCTTCATCCTACTGTCACACCTCACGCTCCTCACAGCGTTACCTCAAAACATAAATGGACCTAAATTCCAAGGACTTTGCCGCAACTCACAAACCCTATCAACTCCCCCGTGCAGCATGTGCACACAGCTACCCAAGCTCCAGTCCCCTCCTTCGTCGCTGCTCAAACTCTCTCCAACCCCTTCACCCTTCACTCAGCTACCCCCTACATCACCCCTCTCCCACGGCCCCACCACTGCTCTGACCTCCTCTTCCACCCCACCTACATTCCTCATACTGAAGCTCCCCCAACACTCCACACCTTTGACCTTACTACCATCGAGAAGTCTCCAAAGATCCTCTCTTGATGCCCGCCCTCACCACCTGCCCCCTCGACCCTATCCCCTCACAACTCCTACGACCTTCCTCCTCTCCATTCTACGCTCCCTCACCCACATCTTCAATCTCTCCCTCTCCTCAGGCACTTTCCCCTCCCCTCTGAAACATGCACACATCACCCCCATACTTAAAAAGCCCTCCCTGGACCCCAATGACCCGAACAACCTCAGACCCATCTCCATGCTCCCATTTACATCTAAACTCCTCGAGCACCTAGTCTACACCCGCCTATGCTCTCACCTCAACGACAATCCCCCCCCACCCCCCCCCCCCTACCCCCTCCCCCTCCCCCCCCCCCACTCCCCTCCTGAGCGACATATCAGACTGGATGTCGCTCCACTTCCTTAAATTGAACCTCTCCAAAACCGAGTTTCTTGTCTTCCCCCAGCCCGGACACCACCCCCCATTGATTTCTCCGTCACATCCAACAACGCTACCATCAAACCGCCCTGCAGGCCAGAGTACTGGGTGTCATTCTGGACTCCAACTATCCTTCCAGCCCCAAGTCCAATCTTTAACAAACTCGTGCAGACCCACCTCCGCAACATCGCCAAAATCCGCACGTTCCTAACCCCAGAAACCACTAAAACAGCTCATCCACTCCCTCATCATATCACGACTCGACTACTGCAACTCCCTCCTCACTGGCCTGCCTCGCCGCTGGCTATCCCCGCTTCAGTTGATCCTGAATACGGCTGCCAGACTCATTCACCTTTCCAACCGCTCTGTCTCTGCCACCCCCCTCTGCCAATCCCTCCACTGGCTTCCGATTGCGCAACGGATCAAATTCAAAATCCTAACGCTGAGTACAAAGCTGTCCACCATACTGCCCCGTACTACATCTCTGACCTAATATCCAAGTACCGCCCAGCATGCACACTCCGCTCCTCACAAGACCTCCTTCTCTCTAGTTCCCTGGTCTCCTCCTCCCATGCCCGCCTCCAGGACTTCTCCAGGGTGTCACCCATCCTCTGGAACTCCCTGCCCCAACCCATCAGATTATCACCTACTCTCCTCTCCTTTAGGCGCACCCTGAAAAACCCATCTCTTCAGGGAAGCCTACCCCACCCCCTGCTAACTTGCCGACCTCCTCCACTCTTCCTACCACTCCATCCCCCACAGCTATCTCCTCCTGTGCCACCACCCCCCTCCCTCCTAGATTGTAAGCTCGAAAGAGCAGGGCCCTTGATCCCCTCATGTTTTGCATTGTATTGGTATTGTTCTGTCACATGTTCTGTCTCCCTTTGTAATGTACAGCGCTGAGCGAACTATTGGCGCTTTATAAATACTGTATAATAATAAATATAATAATAATAATAATGTTTTTCTATGGCACTGTTTTAAAGTGGAGCTCCAGCCTTAAAGGAAAGTTCCGCTTTAAGTCTTTGTCCCCTGTTTCCCATTAAGGATGGGCACCTTTGGGGAGCAGAAACCCGAATTTAACAGGTACTCGCTCCCACTTCCACTGCCATCACCTAAGGCGATTGGAAGCGGAAGTTGTTCCCCCCCCCCCCCAACCCCGTGGTCTTCTGGGACACATGACAGGTCCCAGAAGACTATGGGGGCCATTCACAAAGCCGCACAGCTGGGTGCCCACACTAAAGATGCCAGCGTCGGGGAGAGAAGGTGGTTGGTGAAACCAGCAGTGGTGGACCAAGGGACAGGTAAGTGGCTGTATTTTAAAAGTCAGCAGCTACAGTTTTTGTATTTATTTTTTTTTCAGCTGGAACTGCGCTTTAATTGGTGTGATTTTAAGTAGGGCGATTTGAAAAATAGTTCCTGCATTACTTTTTCACCCCTTCAGTGAGATTTAACTCTCATAGACTATAAGGTAAATGGCACTGAAATTGCACCTGTGTCTTTATCAGCATTACTTTGAAGTTGCACTTTAAATCGGACCAAACTGCACCAATTTGAAATTGCAGTCGGTGTGAACCAGTGCTTAGAATCACTGTTTGCTTCTAATGGTCCAGTGCTATCACACACAGATCAGGCACATATATAGCACATAGCTAAGGGCAACTGTAACTGGAAAAATGCCCCATATATGGGATTAGACTATTACTGAAAAAATCATGGAACTTTTTTTTTTTTTAAAATCCAGTTTACAATCAATTGGCAGTTGTTTCATGGGGTTTTGTTTGCCTTCCTTTAAATCAATATCAGTTCTTTTACAATGTCAAAATAGAATGAGTATAAAAGAAACCCGTCTGAGAAAAAGAAATTGCTCCCGATGCTGAACTTTCCTTTTAAAAAGGTTAATTTCATGGCTGTCATGTTTACGATCTTGCTTCAGTTATGTGACTATCCCAAGCAATTGCATACTAATCATGAATTATCCCCGCAGTGTGTCTAATATGTCAATTTTCCTATGACTGTCATCTCCAACTAGTGGCCATAATCTGGTATTTTCCTGAAATATCTCAATCAGGTAAACACTGCATCATGTCCACTAGATGGAGCTGGAAATCCTAGCAAATGAACATATTAGATAAATTACAGTGATTATTTGTGATGGCTGTGCAAATGTTTGAGATGTTTGCACAGCATTTTTTAAATAAACAGACACCTTTGAGTCACTGACCTGAAACAGATATGCAGATAAGGTGTTCTGACTTTATTTTGAGTTTCCTTATCAGCATACTTGCTCCTGTTCATTGATTCAAAAGTTCTGAAGCCAGAGGTTAGTATAGCACAGGGGCGGACTGACAACATATGGGGCCCCCGGGCAATAGGGGATCATGGGGCCCCTGTGTCCTTGCCCAAACTCAAAAAAGTCTATGAAAAAGGTACCAGGGGCATCTCATGGGGCCCCCTACTGACCCCAGGCCCTCGGGCAGTGCCTGAGTTTCCAAATGGTCAGTCCGCCCCTGGTATAGCAGTCAGAAAACTATCATAATAAGGTGCTCCTGTTATGACAGGTTTACTTTAATTTGTTTTTTCTCAGCCATTGTGGTACCATATTACTACATTTTGTTGTCACTCTGTATACTAAACAAAAACTGTTTACTGTTCTATATACAGTATATCACTATTGAAAGTACAAACAGGTCAAATCTGCTGGTATCCAGGCTCACAATGCAAAATATGAAAACACATTGACTTGCACTAATTCAGAACACATAAGGTACAGCTCTATGTCTGCAAGCCTGAAGAACTACTGTTATTAAAGGTGAACTCCGGGCTTCACATCAGCCTTGGAAACAACATCTCTCAGGTTGAGGAACCTGGACTACACATTAGAGTCACGGCAATGGCAAAGAATGCAGGACATAGTAATCATTAATTATGCTTCAGCATCTCCTCTTGTTACAATTATGTCCTGCTCTTTCATTAGACTAGAGTTGTTAACCACTTGCCGTCCACAGGCTGTATATAAACGGCCTGGATGTCAAGTGGTAAAAAACAAGCTTGGCATCAATTTTTTTAGCCACCTCCCAACTTTTCATTAAAATTGATTCCGGCAGCTGTAGAACCACCCGATCACATTTACTCCTGTGAGGGTGTAGCAAACCCATCCATTCCCCACTACCTGTCAAAGTTTCTGGGAGCTCCTGTTCCACAGTCACCTCTGCAAGGAATGAATTTCATCACTTTTGGATTCAGAGCTGTCGTTCCCCAGATTCTGAGGCCAGGGGAGCAGCTAACCAAGCACAATCTGTGCTTGATTAGCTGCAATGAAGTTCATAAATGACATGACATTAGGGGTCTAATAGACCCCGATGTCTCCTTAAAGAGAATCTGCCACCTGACCTAAGCTATCATATAGGGATCATATTACTCCCCTTTGTGCCTTTGTGATGACAATAAAGTGCAATAAAAAATGTGTTAAAAATGAATAAAAAGAATTAGATTATATTAAAATTTTTAAATTGAAGAGTAGCTCTATCATCCCAAACACACTACATGTGTAGGGTGGAACACAGTAGCAAGGGCAGACTGACAATTCATGGGGCCCCCGGGCAATAGGGGATCATGGGGCCCCTGTGTCCTTGCCCAAACTCAAAAAAGTCTATGAAAAAGGTACCATGGGCATCTCATGGAGGCCCCCTACTGACCCCAGGCCCTCAATAGGGGATCATGGGGCCCCTGTGTCCTTGCCCAAGCTTAAAAAAGCCTATAAAAAAGGTACCAGGGGCATCTCATGGGGCCCCCTACTGACCCCCGGGCCCTCGGGCTGTGCCCGAGTTTCCAAATGGTCAGTCCGCCCCTGTACAGTAGATATTGCCATGAAGGCCAGCGTGAGATGAAGAATTCTAGGGCCACAATTCACAGTTAGCTCTAAATTAATGAGCTGTAAAGGCTTTTAAAGCACCAGTTTTGGGTACTGTAGTTTTTTTTGCCATTTCACAGGTGATCTAATTTTAGCAGTAGGACTATAGGCAAAACTGTTTATTTAATTTTGGATAGAGTATGGGAGGGTTACATCCCGTCAGGTTTTTTTTTTTTTTTAACCCTGTGTCCCATTGGGGAGATTTACTTTCACTTTCTGTCCCATAGCCAAAAAAAACTGTGAGAGGAAATCCGTGCAAATGGGAATTCCTTGTAGATCCCCAGGTCACAAGAACTAGCATCCCCATTGGAAAATTTACACTATATTACTTTTCTGGGGACAACCCAAAATTAGTTTTTTTTGTTTACTTTCCCTTTCAATGATAACGATAAACAGGAGAGGGTGAAGCTCCCTAATAGGGGCACAGACAGCAATAAAAACTGACAGGGGTTCTAAGACCGATATATTTGAGAAAACAACAATATTTTGGACTGTTTGCTATTAAAGTCCAGTAAAAAAATTTATACAATCAAATTTCAGCATAAATTTAGGCCAAAATGTATTCTGCTCCATGTCTTTGCTAAAAAAAATCCCAATACGTGTAACTTTATTGGTTTACGTGAAAGTTATAGCGTTTACAAATGGCGGTATAGATAATGGGATTTTTTTTTCTACTAGTAATGGCGGAGATCAGCGACTTTTAACAGGACTGCAGTGGACATTCTGAAACTGAGGGGGAACTGGCTTGGTGTCACTGACACCCCCGTGGCACCAATACAGTGATCAGTGCTAAAAAAAAGCACTGACACTGTACTAATGGCACTGGCAAGGAAGGGATTAATGTGAGGGGTGATCAAAGGGTTAACTGTGTGCTGGGAGTTTTTTACTAGGGGGTGGGGGGGGTGTGTTCTTCACTGTAAGCACACTGATCGGGATGGCTGTACTGTGCACAGCCATCCCCAGCAGTGTGCTCGAGCTGACAGGGAGGAAGATTGTTTGTAAACAAAACAATCTTCCTCCCCGTTGGAGGTGTTCAGTAATCACTGGGTGGCGGCGGGTAATTACTGGCCGGGACCCAGTGATTGAAATCCGCAGGCGCAAATGGCGGCGCAGGTAGGGCATGTGTGCGCGCCCCCTACCTGGAAATGCAAAATTACGTTGTATATATATGTGATTCTGCACACAGGTGCCGCCCTGTAGCAGTGTATCTGCTATAGGGCAGTCCTCAAGCGGTTAAATGCTACCAAAAATTCAGCATTATATTGGGTTTGCAACCACTAAAATTAATTTTAGGGTATTTTTTTCCCTGAAAATATAGACTTGATAAACATTTGTGAAAATACCATGCAACATAAAAGACTGCAACCGTCGCCATTTTTTTCTACTGGCCTCTGCTTTCAGAAAAAAATGAGATATATATATATACAGTCATGGCCGAAATTGTTGGCACCCTTGATATTTCTCCAGGAAATCATGTATTTCTCACGAAACGTATTGCATTAACACATTTTGCTATACACATGTTATTCCCTTTGTGTGTATTGGGACAAAACAAAAAAAGGGAGGAAAGAAAGCAATTCGACATAATGTCACACAAACCTCCAAAAATGGGCTGGACAAAAGTATTGGCACCCTTTCACAACTGCGGTAAAATAAGAATGTTACAAGCATGTGATGCTCCTGTAAACTCACCTGGGGCAAGTAACAGGTGTGGGCAATATAGAAATCACACTGAAAGCAGATAAAAAGGAGAGACGTTCACTTAACCTTTGCATTGTGTGTCTGTCTGTGCCACACTAAGCATGGACAACAGAAAGAGGAGACGAGAACTGTCTGAGGACCTGAGAACCAAAATTGTGGCAAAATATCAACAATCTCAAGGTTACAAGTCCATCTCCAGAGAACTAGATTTGCCTTTGTCCCACAGTGCGCAACATTATCAAGAAGTTTGCAACCCATGGCACTGTAGCTAATCTCCCTGGTCGTGGACGGATGAGGAAAATTGATGAAAGATTGCAACGCAGAATAGTCCGGATGGTGGATAAGCAGCCCCAAACATGTTCCAAAGACATTCAAGCTGTCCTGCAGGCTCAGGGAGCATCAGTGTCAGCGCGAACTATCCGTCGACATTTAAATGAAATGAAACGCTATGGCAGGAGACCCAGGAGGACCCCACTGCTGACACAGAGACATAAAAAAAGCAAGACTACAGTTGCCAAAATGTACTTGAGTAAGCCAAAAGCCTTCTGGGAAAACGTCTTGTGGACAGATAGACCAAAGATAGAGCTTTTCGGTAAAGCACATCATTCTACTGTTTACCGAAAACGGAATGAGGCCTACAAAGAACAAAACACAGTACCTACGGTAAAAATATGGTGGAGGTTGTTTTGGGGTTGTTTTGCTGCCTCTGGCACTGGGTGCCTTGACTGTGTGCAATGGCATCATGAAATCTGAGGATTACCAAAGGATTTTGGGTCGCACTGTAGGGCCCAGTGTCAGAAAGCTGGGTTTGCGTCCAAGATTCTTCCAGCAGGACAATGACCCCAAACATACGTCAAAAAAGCACTCAGAAATGGATGGCAAAGAAGCGCTGGAGAGTTCTGAAGTGGCCAGCAATGAGCCCAGATCTAAATCCCATTGAACACCTGTGGAGAGATCTTTAAAATTGCTGTTGGGAAAAGGTGTCCTTCCAAAAAGAGAGACCTGGAGCTGTTTGCAAAGGAAGAGTGGTCCAAAATTCCGGGTGAGAGGTGTCAAAAGCTTATTGATGGTTATAGGAAGCGACTGATTTAGTTATGTACCAAAGGGTGTGCAACCAAATATAAGTTATGGGTAATACTTTTGTCCAGCCCATTTTTGGGGTTTTGTGTGTGACATTATGTCAATTTGCTTTTCTGCCTCTGTTTTATATTTGTTCAATACATACAAAGGGAAATAAACATGTGTATAGCAAAACATGTGTTAATGCAATACCTTTTTTGTGTGAAATACTTGATTTTCAGGAAAAAATATCAAGGGTGCCAACAATTTCGGCCATGACTGTATATATATATATATATATATATATATATATTTATAAAAAATAGTTTAAGTAATTTTCTACCAAAAAATGTTGATTTTAACTTGTGTTAAATATTGAAAAATTGCCCTGGACTTGAAGCAATCACTTATCACTGCCTTACTTTATTTTTTTCAGAAGTTTGGATGACATATTTCATCTGGAATGTTTTTAGCAGTCAGTTCGCTAGTACATGATTGTACACGTGATAATATATTATGTAGAAAAGCTGTAGATATAAAGGTTATAAGAGGAACCCTTGTCCTGGGGGGGGCACTTACAGAGCCTGTGCTTCTGCATCATTGAAGATACATCCCATCTAAAAATCCCTTAAAGCCACATTTCAGCATAAAGAGCTATTCTATTAGCTAACCCTGCATAGCTTCTGTAGTTAGAATGCCTTATCAAAGGCCTGCGGTATATTTTCATAGATGTCTTAAGTATCTCTTAATCTGATTATATAATTTTGAAACACAAGAAAATCCAATATGGAAATTTGTAAAACAGAAGAACATTTGGACAGAGTAGCAACTGTACATTGCAGGTCCCTGTACCACAAAAGTTAAAGTCGAACTCCAGGCACAAAAGCTTTCATTTAAATATATTTCTCAATAGCAACATAGGATATAAATCCATTTTGTGTGCACCATATCTAGATATTACCTTTGTAAAAGTAGCTGCTACATCATCACAGTGCTGTACATAACCTGTGCAGAAAGCACAGCAGGCCTCACCTACTATAGAAAACTAGAGGAGGGGAGGAGACAAGACCAGTCACCCTGAACAAGGAGAGATGACCGGTCTTTATTACAGGAAGTTCCTGCACAGGGGCAAATTTTCTTGCTGGAATATTGCACAGATCTGGAAGAAATACACAAAGCACACAAAGATTCAAGAAAGAATACACATGACAAATGTATTTAGGCAATATTTGCTGATCCTGAAGTTCAGCTTTAGACATTTTTCACACTTGAGCATAGCGGAAACGTGCAGAAATGTGAGTGTTTCCGGAATGCGTAAAAAACATGCAATTAGGTGCTATTCATTCTTAAAGGTATCCCAAATGCGCAAAAAAGCGTTTTGTCATGCAACAAAAAGTACGAAAAATGCACAAAAAGCTGTCTTAAATAACTCTCCAAAAAAAGCTACTTTGGTGCATTTTTCATGCATAAAAAAATTCTTCACTCAGATTTGAATAGGGCGTTAAAATTATACTCCATGTATGATCTGTACTGCACAGTTACATTGGTTTGACTTGAACTAATGTAAGTAGGTATATCTCATACCTGAGAGGCTGCTTTTGAAGCTGAAAATCTAGTAGTCGGTGCTACTACAGTGATTGCCACAATCTTTCGGGACCTGTGCTGAGCAACTTCTCTTCTGCATAGTGAACACAGAGGGTCACTTGATCAGCACTGCTAACATTCGCATTTTTTTCAACAAATAGAATGTGTTCTTTGATTAGGTGGAGATCAAGACATCACCACCCCGCCACTCCACCTTGTCTAATCAGAGAAGGCCTTCTGGTCATTAAAAAATGCAAGGCGTTTTGTGAATGGTGGCATGGCAGAGCGAGCAACCGCCTATGGTCATGATGCATTATGCAGAAGGGAAGGCGCTCAGCATAAGACCTGGAGGATCGCAGTGATTACTGTAGTAACTCGGGTGACTTACACCCTCCACAAAGACAGATCAGGCATCACATATGCATGCCTATATGGCACCCTCCTAGTTTAGCTAGGGGGAGCTAGATCCTAATGGTTAGACAGGAGCTGAATAGTAGCTCTGGTGTAATAGCCAGATAGCCAGAGGGGTAAAATTGTGGTCTGCACTGAGAGGCTCTGCAGGCCAGCCTCTCTGGAATTTCCCCTTGCTCTAGGGCTTTTGGAGAAAGGCCTTAGAGGCAGTGGGTGGATCTGAGGAGTGGCTGGCTGCACTTTTGAGGGGTCCTAGCCAATCCCCAACAAGAGTTTGGCAAGGGGTTGGACACCCTTAGAAGTGTTGGAGCCTGCTCAGTGGCAGGAGTATGGAGTGGTGTGGTGTGAAGAAGTTGGAGGGAGAGAAGAAGATGTGAGGCTGTGAGGAAGGAGGCTGACAGGAGGCCTAGTGGGATGGGGCCTGCCTGCGAGCCTGGAGCTGAAACGGAGGAAAGCTTGAAGTTCACTGGCAACCTGAGCAAGGATCACCAGTATGGTAGGGAAAGAGCAGCCCAGTTGATAGGCCTGGTAGTAGCAGCCAACCCACAAGCGGTACAAGAGAGGATCTAAGTGAGTACACCTGCACCCCCTGGGCAGATTGGGGGAGCACTCTGGTGGGAAACCGGATTAGTACCCTACTAGTGACTGTTGAGGAACAGGAGCCGGCTCCCCTGCTCAGAAAAACCTCCAGATTGCTGGGTGAAGAGGAGATCTCATCTAGGGTCTGGGGTGGTACATCAAATAGACGCTGGCTAGCTCTCCAACAGAGAAAGCTTGTGAATTCTTTGTCCCCAGTTGTCGGCTCCTTTGGGCATCCTATACCACCCTAATCCTATCCCAGTTCAAAATCCCCTCAATAAAACAACAAAACAAAAGCTCAAGGACTGATTTCTGACTCAAGCCTGTGGAAGATGTGTAATGCTTGGATGTGCGGGACTATAGGGGACCCAATTCATCGTGCTACACTTATATCAGATGAAGCTGGCTCAATGTAAGTACGCAAAAAAATATCATCCCTGGAATTCAACTTTAAACTCAAAATAAAATGCAACATTGATCTCATTTAAAAGTACATTCCATTCCAGTGTAGGCGCATGGTATAGGGCTCATGCATATGGCCGATTAGGGACATATACTGCCCAGAGATACAGAGAACACTGTGTTCAACAACCACACCCTTCCCCAAAGGTAAGAGAGACCAGTGCTCAGACCTGTGCTCCTGCAAGTTGCCCAATATCCATATCCACAAATAAAATCGGCAACACGGCAAGATCTTCCAAACATACATTCTTTTATTATCACATAGGGATAAAATCTGGCATAATAAGTGTAGTATTACCCTCCCGACGGCCACTGGATTTGTTTTGCATCCCCCTAAGCTCTGCACGCACAGCCAACACACATTTTCCACGTTTCCACATTCAGAGTCAGTAAACAGTCCTTGAGCTGGTTTTAGTTGTTTTTATTAAGGGGTTAATAACTTGGATGGGGTCTAGGGGTATATGGGATGCCCAAGGAAGTGCAAGGGACAAACGTCTTAGCAACAATACTGTACAAGAAAAAGGGGATCCGCAAAAATAGCAACTGTCTCTTTAAGGAGTGCTAAAGTTCCCTTGGTGTACCTCCTCAGACTGCAGATTGATGTTTTTTCATTCACACATCTGATAGGAGGAAAACTCCCCAATTCTGTAAGTGAAAGGGGGTGCAGTGTGAGGTTGGGGATCAGGGGGTTCCAATCATGTTTCAAGCTCCACCCTAAACATGGATGTAACATGAAGCATGATCTGAATAATGTACTTAGCTTTTAAGGATCTCAGGACTTGTGTTCTGCATTGTATGAGGAACTGTAAACTTGAGGATGAACTTCTTAGCAACAATACTGTACAAGCAAAAAAGTGGATTAAAAAAATAGCAAATGTCTCTGTTAAGGAGAACTGAAGTTCCCTTTGGTGTACCTCCTCAGACTCCAGATGAAACTTCCTCTTCACCCAGCTGCACTGAGGGTATCCCTGGGCAAGGGATTCCAAGAGCTATCAACTAAGATAAGAATTAGTTGGGTCTTGCACCTGACCACCCTCTCCCTTTGTCTGGCCCAGGGGGTGTAGAAGTACTGTCCTGTTAGCTTGGTGGTTTAAAGCTGCTTTCAGGCCTTATGCTGGGCTGGCTCCTTCTTGGCTGATAGGTTGTCCTCCATAGGAGACCTTGGCAGGGGCGGACTGGCAACTCATGGGGCCCCCGGGCAATAGGGGATCATGGGGCCCCTGTGTCCTTGCCCAAACTGAAAAAAGCCTATGAAAAAGGTACCAGGGGCATCTCATGGGGCCCCCTACTGACCCCGGGCCTTCGGGCAGTTCCCGAGTTTCCAAATGGTCAGTCCGCCCCTGGACCTTGGGACAGATGAGATCCTTCTGTCCAGCAACCAGCCTGTAGATAGGCTCTCCTCCCTTGGGCCCCCTACCAGGCTCCACACTCCAGCCTTCCCCTCAGTCCATCTTCCACCTGACTCCAACAACTACTGAACAGGCTCTTCCACATGTATTGGTTGTCCTTAGTCACCATGCCCAGCCACCTGCCTGGGGATTGGCCAAGGTCCCTCAAACATACAGATCTGGGCCTCCTCCGCTCCTTCACCCCTCTTCCAGAAAGTTCTCTAAGTCTCTGGAAGGGTGGGTGGGCTCAAGAAGTCCTGACCTGTAGAGCCACCCAGCCTGTACTTAGGTGAACTCACTACCTCACTCCAAGGCTGACTCATCCCAGGCTGCTACCCAGCCTCTAACAAAAATAAACAAAGCCTATCTAGCTAAACCTAGAGGGCGCTACACAAGCATGCTTCAATCAACCATGCTAATTTCAATAGGTTGGCAAGTGTGCAGGAATGCACAAAAACTATGGTAGACACAATCTTTAAAATCACACTGCACCAAATGACATGGTACTGTAGTACCATACAGTTTGGTGGCCACAAACACACCCACATTTGTGAGATGTGTGGGTGTGCCATTAAGAATTAATATCAAACACATGCATTTTAAGGGAGGAGCATGTTTCCTGCACCACACGTGGTGTGAACCGGCCCTTAAGGCCGGATGGGCACCCCTGAACATGGATTGTATACATGCATAATCTGTTCCTAACCATAGGTCATCACCCATGTGTGACAACATGCGAGCACCTGCGGACAGCGTCAGCAGGGAAAGACTGATCTTGTTAGTGTTTGGTCTGTATCAGCCATGTGCATGAGCCCATAGAAGGAGATGTTTCTTTTTAACATTGTGTAGCACTGTACTAGCATAACATGCTAGATAAATTTAATTTCTGGCCTTCTGTGATTAAGGTCACAGTGATTGTTTGGTCTGGTCCAGGGGCGAACTGACCATTTGAGCGCCTGGGCTAAGTAGGGGGCTCCATGAGATGCCCCTGGTACTTTTCATTTGCTTTTTCATAGGCTTTTTTTGGGTTTGGGTGAGGACACAGAGGCCCTATTATCCCCAGTTGCCCGGGGGCCCCATGAGTTGTCAGTCCGCCCCTGGTCTGGTCTGTTCAGGTTTTCACAAGCTGAGAGTTTGATTGCTTCCCCCTGCTTATAGAAGAAGTTTCTAGAGCTTAAGGAGGGGGGAATTCAAATAACCAGCATGAATACTGATCATGTCCCAGCCAATCCCAGGTGAGACGTGGCCAGATAGTAGCTGGGAAGCTGATAATTAGTCTGATGATCTGGAAAGATTCTCTTTTCCCTGGAAGAGGGTTCCAAGCCTCAAGGGCGGCTGCCCTAGTCGGCAACCTGCGGGCTGACTTTCTGATTTTGGGGGTCTCAGCTGTTGCAGGGCTGGCCATAATCTGGAGTTGGCTATAGGACTTCACCACAAAGAATCTGGTCTGGGAAAGGATCGTCTCCCTCACTGGGTGGTGTCCAGAGGAAACTGTAGGGAGGCAGCAAGGGAGATATGGACCTAAACTAATTCTTGTAGACTATGTGCTTTGGTAAAAACATGCCAGAGGTAGCTTGGACTGAGATTGCTATCAAAGGGTCTCATATACTGGCCATTCCCTATCCTCAGCAGTGTCCTGTACTGTGAGCTTAGAAAATGTGCCCTCCTGTACTGTTCCTGAGATTGCACTGGGTACAGGGGCGGACTGACCATTCGAGCACTCTGGCACTGCCCGAGGGCCCAGGGTCAGTAGGGGGCCCCATGAGATGCCCCTAGTACCTTTCATAGGCTTTTGTGGGTGTAGTTTGATTGTGGGTGAGGACACAGGGGCCCCATGATCCCCTATTGCTCGGGGCCCCATGAGTTCTTAGTTCACCCCTGACTGGGTACCAACAGCTCTGCAGTGGTGCAGGGCAACCAGATGCCAAAGAGACTTGTCTTATGGTCCCCAGCTGTGAGGCCTTAGACTGTTCAATAGTCACAGTTGCTTAAGGAGAAGATTGCCCTCACACAGCCAATTGCTAACCATTTTGGAGTATTCCATGCCCTAATCCCTCTCCTGTTACAAATTTTACCAGCAATAAATCACAAAAAGACAACCCCTGTTTATTGGAGCCGGAGTGAATGGATTGTTGCTTGAGTGGCTGTTAGTCTCATTACAGTTTGGGGGAGAACCAGTTAAAATCAAGGGCCTGTAGCACTACAGTTGTTGTCCTCAGCATTTTTTTCATCAAACCTCTATACAGCAACTGAAGACAAAAGGATGTCAATGAAAAAATATTATGCTGTGCTACCCAATCAAACAGACCCCTAAATAATGATGAATCAAAGTAAAATAGGTGCAAATTAAATAAAAGAAGCCGTGGAACATGCAGTGACCACACAAAACACACAGCAAATCCTCCACCAGCCTCCAGGTTGCGACCCACAAGGGGTGATATGGCTAAAAATGCACTCATCCAATGATACCCTTCTGTAATGATCAAAGCAATCCTCTATGGTGGCGATGGTAGACACTCATCAATGTACCAGCAGTAAAACTCAGAAGTCCCCACAGGGATATGGCCTAAACTCTCTCCTCTCCAATAGCCCACACATGGAAATTAAATTAAAAAACCTCCCATAGTGTAGTAAGTAAAATGTTTATTGTATAAAAACATAGCAGAGTTACTACTCACATAGGGAAATGAGTCTACAGACCAATAAAGGCATGGAAAACAGCAATGGCAGAGAGGTGTACAGCACCAAGGTGTACCAAGATGGCAGCTGCCATCCGTACCGGAAATTACATCCCCACGCTTCCGTGCTACGCGTTACGTCAGGAATCATGTGACTTCCTCAGGGCAACCTCAGGAAGTCATGTGATTCGTGACGTAACGTGTAGGACGGAAGCGTGGTGACATCATTTCTGGTTCTTCTGAGTTTTACTGTTGGTACATTGATGAGTGTCTACTATCGCCACTATAGAGGATTGCCCTGATCAGTACAGAAGGGGTATCATTGGATGAGTGCATTTTTAGCCTTATCACCCCTTGCAGGTCGCAACCTGGAGGTGAGCGCTCACACTAGCTGGTGGAGGATTTGCTGTGTGTTTTTTGTGGTCACTGCATGTTCCACGCCTTCTTTTGAAGATACAGATTTATTGGGACTGTGCACATTATTATGGCATTTTTCACATTTACTTGTATATTCTTTGTGTATTTATGATCTTTTTGGCGCCCATTTACTCATTGTTGTTCACGTATTATCAGTGTCATTTTGTTCACACTGGGTGTTTTAGTTTTTTGAGTGATCCATTTTTACTACTTGTTTATCATTATTTATATATTTGTTTTACATTTTGGATCACGATAAGTTTTCATGTGTCATGTCATTTATTTATCATCCTATGTTCACTTCATTCATTCATTTTCTTGTTCACTCATTTTATCACAAGTTTTTTTGTGTTTTTATATATTTCATTTGCACCTATTTTACTTTGATTCATCATTATTTAGGGGTCTGTTTGATTGGGTAGTGCAGCATAATTTTTTTTTTCATTCACTTTTCTGAAACTATTGGTATTATAGGCAGGTGTTAGCAGCCACCCGGTTCTGTTTTAAGCATTGGCAGCGCAGGAGGAATTTATTGTTATGCTTTTGTAAGACGGATATCCACATCAGGCCAGAGCTCTAAAAATACATTTATAATTATTTTCTTCGTTACAAGATTTTGTCTGTTTTGTGCGGTGTAATTAACTTTAATTGACCTTTCACTTCTTTTCTTTCCATAATAATTACGTTGTTTCTCTGCACAGGCCTCATTTTCTGTTTTTGTTTTTTTTTTTTTATAAAAATGATCATTTTCTCATAACACAGCAGTACAATTCCTCTATAAGGCAATGGAGTTGATTTACTAAAAGCAAATAGGCTGTGCACTGCAGGGGACCGAAAGTGCAGTTGCTCGAGGTCTGAGGGGAACATGCAAGGAAAATAAAGAAACACCATTTTTGCTTGCACACGACTGGATCCAAAAAAATGAACAGAGCATCACCTCATTTCAGAGCTTCCCCTCGGATATAAAGCAACTGCACTTGCAATGCACTTGAAGTGCACTTGCAGGTGTACTTGCAGTGCACAGTATATTAACCTTTAGTAAATCAACCCCAATGTGTCTTATAAAGGAATTGTACTCTGACAGATGCGCTCAAAAAGGCAAGCAGAGGACATATACTGTAGCTATTTATCAGTAATGCCTGAAGTTTCCCTGCATCTGATTCTTTCCCTCTTACTTACCATGCCTTGATCTGCACTGTGTCTCTGTGTGAAGCTGGCCATCTTGGTAGAGGCAGGGCTTTACTTCCTCATGTCAGAGCCTCCAGCAAAGAGAACAGTAAGCCACACAGTAATGTCATCACCAAATCCCATTCCAAATCTCCTGAGACTAGCATTCAGAGGCAGCAGTGCCTCAGATCTCACACTACAGACATACAGCTATGAGGCTGTAAGCAGATGGGACTCTACATACAGGGAATGCAATGGGTTTTTTTGCGGGGGGGGGGGGGGGGGTTAGCAAGACAAAAGGCACATTTATAAGGGTGCTGCTTAGTCAAAAATAAAATTTATGAATGTTCCCTCTAACTAGGGATGAAATTCGGGTTTGGGTTGAAGGGCTGAAACATGTGAGCAAGGAAGGGTACTTGTTTTTTTTTCTGTGGTAGATAAGGAAGTTTTAATGAATCTACCTAGTGTGTCTACAACTTCATATTGGTGTGAATGGCATCTATGTGTTTATTTACATTTAACTTTTTTTAAATGAGTAATTGGGGGTACTAATGTACCCCGTACTTATTCCCCATTTAGTTTTTTGCAATGGGACTTTTGCTGATGCATGCTGGGTCTAGGAATGGCCAGATTAAAGCAGACTTACATCTGTTTACAGCAGGATACCTACAATAAGCCACATTTAAAGCAGAACTACA